AATGAAATTTTCTTTTAAAATATTAACAAGATAGTTCAAATTAAATTGGACATTTGAGTTTTAATTGCACCCAAAATAGGTCCTTGACTATAGTGAAAATCCTAAATAACCAGTTTTACCTCTCATTTTAACACCCATTTAACACCAAAACTAACGGAAGACCATTTTGGCTTAAAATTCAGTAGTCAGAGGACCACTTTGGGTGCAATTAAAAGTCAAGGTACCAATTTGAGAAAAAGTCATAGTCGGAGGACCATTTTGGGAATTAACTCTAAATAAAATAATAATAATCAACCACGTAAAGAATTTCTATACCTTTAAATAGGTCATTCACTCATTGTTAAGCTTTATGAGATAATTTTACTTGCCTGAGTTGTCTCTCTACCACTTTATTTTCCTTCATTATTACATTGATCTATTGGTATAGAAAGGCCGATTTTTTATTTTAATCACACATGAATATGTTGAGTGCAACTAAAAGATATTTTATTTTAACAATAGCGGGAAGTATATAGTTTTTAATAGTAATCTGTTGAAAGAAAAACAGAATAGAGAGATAAGGAAGGAAAGGGAGAATCTCTTATTCATTCATCCATCTTTACATATATATCTATATCTATATATCTATATATCTATAAATATATATATATATATATATATATATATATATTTATTTATTTATTTATTTATTTATATTGCGAAAAGGGTCAAATAGGATCTCGAACTTTAGCTTAAAAGTAAATTAGTTCCCTAAACTTTTTAAAGGTGCAATTACACCCATCAACAATTCATTTAAGTGCAATGAAGCCCAAAAACAAATTAATGACTTGCTATCACAGGTCAATAGGGTTCTGGCCACCTCCCGGCGAATTTTCAGGCAAAAAAAAAAAAGTTATCGGCGAAATTTTTGACAAAAGAAGTGACCGGCGAAATTTTCGGCAAATCTTGGTCGGTTGCTGGTCACTTTTTTTTGTCGGAAAATTCGTTAGAAGGTGGTCTGAACCTTAATGACCTATGATAGCATGTCATTAACTTGTTTTTGGGCTTCATTGCACCTAAATGAATTGTTGATGAGTGTAATTGCACATTTAAAAAGTTTAGGGGCCTAATTGACTTTTAAGTTAAAGTTTGAAGGTCTATTTGACCCTTTTCCCATATATATATATATATATATATATATATATATATATATATATATATATATATATATATATATATATATATATATATATATATATATATATATATATATAAAAGTAAAAATCCTCCTAGCCATGTTTCCCCCCCAAAACTTAGGGTCATTTATGTAATAACAGTGTATTAATTAATTATGGAAAGAATATTATAGTAATATAAACTAATTAATTATGAAATATTCCTTTTAATTTACTTGCATAGTGAATTAACGTGCATAGTGCATATTCTATATATAAAATTACGTATAGATTATGAATATTGACTAATTAATTATGGAAAAAATATTATGGTAATATAAACTAATTAATTATGAATTATTTCTTTTAATTAACTTGCATAGTGAATTAATGTGCATATTGCATAGTGCATATATTATGGAATATTCCTTTTAACACAACATCGAAGTAAAAAAAAAATGTAAATTATGCATAATATAATTCATAATATTCCATGTGAATATAACAACATTATGGTAATAAACTAATTAATTATGGAAAATATATATTAGTGTAGTCATTTTAATTGTATGGAATAATAACAAACATGATGGTAATATAAACTAATTAATTATGGAAATTATATATTACTATACTGTAGTCCTTTTCATTGCTGATGGTAATAGAAAATACTAGAACAATATAGACTAGAAGAATATTCCATGCAATTGGCCTCTAAGATTCCTTTTAAGATTCATATTTATATTTATAGGCATATTAATACTGTATGTTCTTTCCCGCATAATTTTAGACTTAGTTTGTTGATGTATCAATAACATTGTTCAATCTCTGTGAATAACGATTATTTCATCGCTATTAATATTATATTCATAAATACTTTTAAATTTAATTAGATCAACTCTAAGTATTTTATATTAATTTAAATACAATAATACACAATTGAAACTTTTAGATTATATTAACTAGACAGTTCATAAAAATGAAATTTTCTTTTAAAATATTAACTACATAGTTCAAAATAAATTGGTCATTCGATTTTTAATTGCACCCAAAATAGGTCTTTGACTATAGTGAAAATCCTAAATAACCAGTTTTACCTCTCATTTTAACACCCATTTAACACCAAAACTAACGGAAGACCATTTTGGCTGAAAATTCAATAGTCAGAGGACCACTTTGGGTGCAATTAAAAGTCCAGGTACCAATTTGAGTAAAAGTCATAGTCGGATGACCATTTTGGAAATTAACTCTAAATAAAATAATAATAATCAACCACGCAAAGAATTTCTACACCTTTAAATAGCTCATTCACTCATTGTTAGGCTTTATGAGATAATTTTACTTGCCTGAGTTGTCTCTCTACCACTTTATTTAACTTCATTATTACATTGATCTATTGGTATAGAAAGGCCGATTTGTGATTTTAATCACACATGAATATGTTGAGTGCAACTAAAAGATATTTTATTTTAACAATAACGGGAAGTATATAGTTTTTAATAGTAATCTGTTGAAAGAAAAACAGAATAGAGAGATAAGGAAGGAAAGGGAGAATCTCTTATTCATTCATCCATCTTTACATATCAATCTATATCTATATATCTATATACATGTATATATATATATATATATATATATATACATATATATATATATATACATATATATATATGTATATATATATATATATATATACATATATATATATACATATATATATATATATATATATATATACATATACATACATATATATATATACATATATATATATATATATATATATATATATATATACATATACATACATATATATATATACATATATATATATATATATATATATATATATATATATATATATATATATATATATATAGGGAAAAGGGTCAAATAGGCCCTCGAACTTTAGCTTAAAAGTTAATTAGGTCCCAAAACTTTTTAAAGGTGCAATTACACACATCAACAATTCATTTAAGTGCAATGAAGCCCAAAAACAAATTAATGACCTGCTATCACAGGTCATTAGGGTTCAGGCCAACTCCCGGCGAATTTTTCGGTAAAAAAAAAAAAAAAAAAAAAAAAGTGACCATCGAAATTTTCGGCAAATCTGGGTCGGTTGCTGGTCAATTTTTTTTGTCGGAAAATTCGTCAGAAGGTGGTCTGAACCTTAATGATCTATGATAGCATGTCATTAACTTGTTTTTGGGCTTCATTGCACCTAAATGAATTGTTGATGAGTGTAATTGCACATTTAAAAAGTTTAGGGGCCTAATTGACTTTTAAGTTAAAGTTTGAAGGACTATTTGACCATTTTCCCATATATATATATATATATATATATATATATATATATATATATATATATATATATATATATATATATATATATATATATAAAAGTAAAATCCTCCTAACAAAGTTTTTCCCCCAAAACTTAGGGTCACTTATGTAATATCAGTGTATTAATTAATTATGGAAAGAATATTATAGTAATATAAACTGATTAATTATGAAATATTCCTTTTAATTTACTTGCATAGTGAATTAACGTGCACAGTGCATATATTATATATAAAATTACGTATAGATTATGAATATTGACTAATTAATTATGGAAAGAAGACTATGGTAATATAAACTAATTAATTATGAATTATTTCTTTTTATTAACTTGCATAGTGAATTAATGTGCATATTGCATAATGCATATATTATGGAATATTCCTTTTAACACAACGTCAAAGTAAAATAAATAATCTAAATTATGCATAATATAATTCATAATATTCCGTGTGAATATAACAACATTATGGAAATAAACTAATTAATTATGAAAAATATATATTAGTGTAGTCATTTTAATTGTATGGAATATTTCGTCAGAATAACACACATGATGGTAATATAAACTAATTAATTATGGAAATTATATATTACTATACTGTAGTCCTTTTAATTGCTGATGGTAATAGAAAATACTAGAACAATATAGACTTGAAGAATATTCCATGCAATTGGCCTCTAACATTCCTTTTTAAATGTAGGAAAATATAGAAGAATTTTTAATTATGGTTAGATTAGTATTATACCTCACGCTCATAGTAGCATAATATTATTATGGTTAGAAATCAATCTATTTATTTAGAGGGCTTAGATGCGTGAATGGATGTGTTGCGGTCGTCAAAATCACGGACGATGTAAGGGAGCAGCTGGCCGTGGCGGAGAAAGTGTACACAGAAGAGGCAAGCCAACAGGCGGAGCGAAGTTTTTGCATTTTCGGCGGAATCAACACTGCGGAAGCAATCTTTACTTTGTCAGTGCGGATTTGAAGTTTTTGGGTTTTTTTATTTTTTTTATTTTTTTTGTTTGTCTGCAAATCTGAAGTTGGCATTGCATTGGATTAAATTTGTAGTTATTTTTATGGCAGTGGTGGAAGAAGATTCAGTGATAGTGATAGATGACTGCTGCCGTTCATGTCAGAGGGCGGTGGTTGAAGTTTGTAGGGATGACAACTCAATGAGAGTGCGAATCGTAAATATATGTGTATTAGTTTTCTTTTTCTTTTTTATATTCAATTCACTACCAATTTTAAGATTCATATTTATATTTATATTCATATTAATACTGTATTTACCAGTTTATCCAAGCAGATTAAGTTCTAGGATTGATATGCTTGTCAGAATATGTATCTAAATTTTCTCTCTAGCATGTCTAGGGTTTCGACTTCCCTATAGGTCTAACCTAGTTTTTCCGAGCGATTTTCCTTTGTTTTGTTACGGTTCCGACCGGTAATTACGATCCAGTTTGTATTGGCGACGAAGATTAATCAGGTTCGTAGACAGAATGGCAACACCGACTGCGGGAGGAGAAGTCGCAGGTATTACAGCACGTTGGGCCGATTTAGTGCTTGAAGAGGAAGAGGTCACGTTCGTGCCAGAACAACTGAGTGCAGGAGACCACCAACCGGATGAGGTGGAGACATGGGTGTTGATTGGTCGTTTTCTGACGGAGAAGACGGTGAAAGTAGAGTTCATGCGTCAAGTGCTTGCTTCGGTATGGCAACCGGTCCGTGGGGTGCAGGTGACGGAGGTGCAACCTAAATTATTTATGTTCGTCTTCTATCACTATACCGATATACAGTATGTGTTGGAAGGGGGACCATGGGCGTTTCAGAATCATACGCTAGTCTGTAAACAGCTTCCACCTGGGACGACCCCGACGGAGATACCACTTGATACGGTGGAATTATGGGTTCAGTGCTACGACTTGCCGTTTGGATATACCTCGGACAAAATACTTGAGCAGATTGGAAATTTTTTGGGAGTGTTTGTCAAATTGGATGATAGATTTCTAGATGCGCCATGGCTAACCTATTATCGAATACGTGTTGCAATCCCAGTAGACAAGCCAGTTAAGCGCAGGATGAGAATGTTGAAGCGTGATAAGACGTATTGTTGGATAAATTTTAGGTATGAGAGGTTACATACTTTTTGCTTTTATTGTGGAATGATGGGGCATGCATATAGGTTTTGCCTTAAAGCCCGTAATGCAACCATACCGGTGGAGCAGTTTCCGTATAGTGATGACCTACGAGCTGGAGGGATACGTGGCCCGAGGGAGATTGGAGACCCGTGGTTAGTGCCTCTTGGGGGGAAACCGAAGGGAGAGAAATTACCGCCTGTTGGGAGGGGGGAACAGTTTGTGAGGGACGGGCAGTTTGTGAATGGGGAAGGGAATTCGGGTGGAGTGAAAGTAGGGGATGATGCTATGCATGCAGTAACGAAGAGAAGGAGGGAGATGGATGGGGGGTGTAGGGGCCATAGGGGGGATGAGAGGGTGATTGAGGGAGAGGATATAGCGATGACTGATGTCCAAAAAAACTTGCAGATGGCGGGTGCTGCGGTGCAGACCCGCCCAACCCAATGAGTACACTGAGTTGGAACTGTCGTGGCTTGGGTAATCCACAGATAGTTCGCGAAATTGAGGACATGGTGTCCCGTAAGAAACCCGATTTTGTATTTCTGATAGAAACCAAGGTTAACCGAGATCATGCAGAACGACTTCGGGTTAAACTTGGTTACGACGGCCTTTTTTATGTTGATAACAATGGTTTGAGTGGTGGTTTAGCACTGTTATGGAAGAATAATAATACAGCAAGTTTGATAGGTTATTCTGATAATCATGTTGATATTGAAGTGAGTATGCCAGGTTTTGACAAGTGGAGAATGACTGGTTTTTATGGCTTCTCGAAGCGTCCGCAGAGGAGGGAGTCATGGGACCTTATTCGTTCATTAGCAAGTAAGTCGAATTTACCATGGGTAATGATTGGAGATTTTAATGATCTTTTATTTCAGTATGAGAAACGAGGAGGGAACCCCCATCCGGATAGTTTGCTACGGGGCTTTGGTGAAACTATTGAGGAGTGTGGTCTCGCGCAGTTACCAATGTTAGGATACCCGTTTACTTGGGAGAAAGGGAAAGGCACGCTAAATTGGATAGAGGAACGATTAGATAAAGTTTTGGCCACCCAGCAGTGGAGAGAATTGGTAGCGGATGCAAGTGTGCAGAATATATTAACCCGAAAATCTGATCATTCTGCTCTTTTCCTTGGGATTCTGAATCCTCGGGAAAGGGGGGGTGGTTTGAAAAGAGGGTTCCGTTTTGAGATGGCATGGCTACATGATGAGGGATGTAGGGAGGTGGTGGAAAGATCCTGGGAACAAGGAAGGAGTAGGGGGTTGCAGGAATGTGTCACGTTTTGTGGAGATCGGTTAACACGCTGGGGTGGAGACCGATTCCATAAATTCGGAGAGAAGATATTAGCCCTACGAAAAGAACAGTTGCGATACAGAGGATGCACGAATCCAGCCTCTTTAGCTGAGTTTCAGAGACTAGATGAGTGCTTGACTCGTATTGAAGTACAGGAGGATGCTTATTGGAGACAGAGAGCCAAACAGCATTGGCTCAAAGAAGCGGATGCAAACACGAAGTTCTATCACAGGTATGCCTCTCACCGAAAGAAAAAGAATACTATTACTAAAATTTTGAATGATAGTGGGGATTGGATTGAGGGAGATGCTATGAGGAATGTAATCTTGAATTATTATCGGGAAATCTTTAGCTCAAATGCTCCTACTGTTAATAATGATTTCTTTGAAAGTATACAACCGCGGGTAACGAATGCTCAGAATGAGGGACTGTTGCGGCCCTTTGAGAAGGAAGAGGTGAAATCTGCATTATTTCAAATGTTTCCTGATAAAGCACCAGGACCGGATGGAATGAATCCTGGTTTTTATCAACACTTCTGGGATGTGGTGGGTAATGATGTGTCTGATTATATTGTGAATTGCTTGAATTCTCGCTCATTACCTGCTAAATTGAATGATACGAATATTATCCTGATTCCGAAGAAGAAAACCGCGGAGATGGTTTCTGATTATAGGCCAATTGCTTTGAGTAATGTGATATACAGGATTATGGCAAAGGTAATTACAGCAAGAATGAAACCACTGATGGGAAGTATTATATCTGAGTCTCAGAGTGCGTTCATATCTGACAGACTAATAACGGATAATATATTAATAGCTGCAGAAGTTGGACATTTTTTGAACAGGAAACAATGTGGAATGGCAGGATGGGGAGCTTTAAAACTGGATATGGCGAAGGCCTATGACCGTATGGAGTGGCCTTTTTTACAGAGGATGCTTCTAGCCCTGGGATTTGATAATAGATGGGTGGAATTGATGATGATGTGTGTGACCACTGTGTCCTATAGTGTACTGATTAATGGTTCACGGAGCAATCAGATTATCCCAACCCGAGGTTTAAGGCAAGGTGACCCCTTATCACCTTATCTATTCATTATTTGTGCTGAAGGGCTTTCATTGTTGCTACAGCAGGCGCAGGCAAAAGGGGAAATCCATGGCTGTAGAGTGGCTAGGGGAGCACCACCCATCTCTCATTTATTCTTTGCTAATGATAGTCTACTTTTCTTTAAGGTGACTACTCAGGAAGCAGAGGTGGTTAAGCATTGTTTAAAAAAGTATGAAGACATGTCTGGGCAGGCGGTTAATTAATTCAAATCGAATATATGTTTCAGTAGGAATACGCGTGATGATATACGAGAGGAGGTGGCTAACATATTGGGGGTGGTGCAGGCCCCGAATTTTGGCAAGTATTTAGGACTTCCATCATTTGTGGGCAGGAATAGAAAAGCAGTGTTCTCATATATTGAGGACAAGATAAGACAGAGGATTAGCTCCTGGAACAAAAAGCTCTTATCACAGGCAGGAAAGGAGGTTCTATTGAAAAGTGTGGCTCAATCTATGCCTACCTTTTCAATGAGTGTCTTTTTGTTGCCAATGACTCTGTGTACTGCCATTGAGAGGACCATGAATCGTTACTGGTGGAGATCAAAGGATGACCAGGGTATACACTGGAAGGCATGGGATAAACTATGCATCCCCAAGAAATATGGAGGGCTGGGTTTTAAGGAACTACGTGCCTTTAATCTAGCTATGTTGGGCAAACAAGCGTGGCGATTTCTAACACAACCACAATCTTTGGTTTCCAGAGTTTACAAGGCCAGGTATTACCCAACAACTACTTTCTTTGATGCACGCTTGGGGAATAATCCAAGCTTTTGTTGGCATAGTATATTAGCGGCACAGGAATTAATTTGTGGAGGAGTAAGGCGCAGGATTGGGAATGGAATATCGACCCTCATATGGGATCATCCATGGTTACATGAGGAGCATATCTCGAAGATAGAAACAGAAAAACCACCCCAGTTGGCATAGGCAAAGGTAGTGGGATTAATGGATCAGGAACTTGGGATAAGGATATTCTCACTGATATTTTTATACCTGAGGATGTGGTGCGGATATTAAAAATACCTATATCACCAGACTATGAAGATTTGTGGTATTGGTATGGGGACCCAAAAGGAGAGTATACTGTAAAGAATGGCTATAGGACAGTAATTGGTGATTATACTCAACAGGTGGGATCCTTTGATAAATGGATGAAGTTGTGGAAACTTAAGATCCCCCCAAAGTGGAAAACATTTTTGGGGAGAGCTTTGAATGATATTTAACCCACTACGAAGAACCTACTTATAAAGAGAGTAGATATTGATCCAACATGTGCCATGTGTGGGATCATGCATGAAGATATTGTGCACTCATTAATCACATGTGATTATACAGCCAACATTTGGACACAATCCCACCTTCCAATCCCCAGTAGTGTCACAAATATTTTCAGTGATTGGTTTAATGATTTGTTAAACATTTTAGATGATAATGAGATTGTTTATGCAGTGGCTCTTCTATACTATATTTGGCGTACGAGGAACGGGGCAGTATGGGAGACATGTTTACCGAGACCACGGAAAGTGATTGCAATGGCAACCTCGGCCGTACAAGCATGGAAAACAGTGCACCCAGGACGAACAAATACGATAACCACCGGTGCGACGGACCCCTGGAATATTACTGCCAGTCCCGTAGCTTGTGTGATGCAAGATGGGATTCATAGCAGAACTGCTACAGCCACGCTTCAGCCTGCGCCAACAATAGGAAATCCACGGCCACATGCGCCAGTCATGCAGCATCACGCGACTCCCTCTCCCATGCGACATCAATGCTTTTTCGACGTGGCATATTTTCACCAAACAAACAAAACGGGGATGGGGGCAATACTACTCAATGGGCAAGGAGGTTATGTCTCTGCTATGTTGTCTCCCATGATGGACTGTTTTTCACCTCTAATGGCGGAAGCTTTTGCATGCAAAGAGGCTTTATCCTGGCTAAGAAATCGTGGGGTAACGTCAGTAAAACTTTACACGGATTGTTTGTTGCTTCAACAATATCTATCATCATCGACACACTCGCCACGCTCATACTTGGGTTATGCCATTGATAGTTGCAGGACTATTATTTCATCTTTTGATTCTTGTTCGCTTTGTTATATTCCTAAATTAGAAAATTATTTAGCTCATACATTAGCATCTACCGCTTTATCCCGATCAACTATTATGTACTTGGACTCAGGTCCACCAAGCTCTATTTCTGCATATTTTGAATAAATTCCGTACAGGCTCCTTTCAAAAAAAAAAATATTAATACTGTATTTTCTTTCCTGCATAATTTTAGACTTAGTTTGTTGATGTATCAATAACATTGTTCAATCTCTGTGAATAAGGATTATTTCTTTGATGTGTAGTACCATAGAGAATTACTATGCTATTTGATCCATTTTGAAGGTGAAAAAAGGTATTTATCTTTATCCTATAATTTAATTTTATGTTGTTTTTTAACTTTATTTTTTGTTTGGATGTTTGTCTTTATCTCTTTTGTCAACCTTGAAGCGTTTCAACCATGGCCGCCAATCATTGTAGATGAAAACTTGCAGGATGACTTTTTTCAAATTTAGAGGCGGTAGTAACCCCTAGAACAACTTTGTTTGTATTACAGAATCTTGACTTGGTGGATACAAAACCAGAAATGCAAAATGAAGAATCTAGGTGTTTTTAATGAATTTTTTATTTTAATACTTTCTATTAAAAGTTTATTATTTTAGTTAATTACACATTTTAAATATCAAATCTAAATATGGTAGTTACTCATTTTAAATATTGTAGTTAATCGAATTTAAATCTCCTCTAAAATATGCATAAATTGAATATATTTCATATGTATATGGTTTAAATTTGTTTTGCATTGGTAGTTAATTAGTATACAATCATGTAAATGAAAATCAAAAGTTTCATATTTAGTTCTTATTAATATACATGCAATTGCGTATATTGAAAAAGTAGTATATAAATTTAATAAAGTATATTTTATTGGTAGTTTTATTTTAAAAAAATGCAATATTTCACAACTATTTCAGGTAAGCACTTTTGCAAGTTGTTTGTATATTAT